ATCCCCTCGGGCTCTGGCCATTTAGAGCAGAGGTGGCTGGCGTCTGAGCACAGAGAGGTTGGAGAAAGTTGATGGACAGGGCAAGTGACTCGGACTTCGTTTCCTTCATGGGCACTTTGCCTGCAATTCTGGAAACAGCCACCAGGGGACTCCCTGGTAATGGCTTTTAGGATCCAAATGATCCGTTTGCCCCCAGAAACAAAACTGATTCTGGGTTTTGTTTCCTTTTAGTGTTGTATGTTTCCTTTTGTTCTCCACTTTTGTACACTATAGGAAGGAGAACTGGCCCAGGAGGAACCAGGCTGTCCCAAATGTGTATTGTATTTCTGCTTTTAATTAACTCGGTGCTGCTGGACCGTCTGGAGCCTGTGAATCTGTAAATCAGGCTGATGCGTCCTGCCCTTCCACAGAATACGAGATTCATTGTGTTTGCGGAGGAGTTAGAGGTTACAGTTTCCTGAGTCTTCCTGTTCCAAAATTCTTTATTTTTGTCCGTTTTTTTCTATAAAATTCTATTTCTTTAGGAAAAGCACCAAGTATAACCAACCTCCAGTTCTAACACAACAGACCAATTGGGACAGGAACTTAGAAGCCTTTGAGTAACTGATTGGTTGGTCAGAGGGTATTGGGGGTCGAGAACAGGCAGGGCAGCACCCCGGGGCCTCGGGCTAGGCGCCCTGATCCAGACAGCCTCTCAGTGAGCCCCAGGCCCTCCCCACTGAGCCCTGCGGGAGTGTCTGCTTCAGGGGTGAGGGTGGGTTCCCCACCTAGAGGCAAGGTGGTCCCTAAGGGATGGCTTCCTTTCACGGACCATCTCTGCTCTCATGTGGCCTGTGTGTCTGCTGTTTCATCTTTCTCTTCTCCTTTGGCCACAGGGCGACAGTCCCGGCCCAGTTCAGAAGAACCTGCACAACCCCATTGTACAGGTAGGTGTGCCTTCCCCGGGTTCTTCCCCAGCCTGGCCATGCCCTCATCCCTTGTTCCCCTGGGCCCTTGGCATCCCCCCTTCCATAGTGGGGCACCCAAAGCAGAGAGGAGTTAAGGAGGCACATGTGGTTGGGGCCCGAGTCGAGCTTCCCACCTGGGTCTGCCCTTTCGTGCCCTCTCTGGACCTGTAAACCTACTAAGTGCATCACACATCCTGCTGTCCTGGTAGTGTCTTCTCTTGGCAGCCAAAGTCTGATGAGCCAAAGCCATGAGCTCACGGGGCCCCTCCTTGCAGGAAACTTTCGTTCATTTTTAACGTTTCAGTATTCTGTCATCAGGGTGAGGAGGGGATCTGCAGGGAGGAAAATGGCATGAATGTGGGGGTCAGAGGGGTCTCTAGGATCAGTTTTCTAGTCCCAGGGTTCACACATGCTGGCCTCTGCAAGTCCCATCAGGGTCCACCAGGGAAGTGTTTCAAATGTGGATTCCTGGGCCCTTCACCCTGAGAGCTGGATCCACCACGTGAGGGTTGGGCCTGGAATTCAGGGACCATATTTTAGAAACCATTAGCCTGCTCAGAGCCCTGCCCTTTAGACAGAGAATGTACCCCATGGCTGTGCAAAGCTCTCCGGCAGACACCAGCCCCCAACCCCCATAGTTATCCCATCATCAGAACTAGACCCCAAGCCCCCGCCTCCCCACTCGACCTTGGCCAGTCCTGCTTTTTGTCCGAGGACTTCAGATTCAAGGTCCTTGCCCTTGGCGGACACAAAGCTCCGGTTTCCTCCGTCCTCACTCTCCAGGCTCCCAGGCCCCCTTTTCCACCGGGGCTTTCTCACAGGGAAGGTGTGCCCTTGCTCAGTGACCCCGTGGCCGGGCCATGGCCCAGTGCACAGTCACACTCCTGCAAGCCCTCAGGGGGTACCAGTAAGATTGTGGGCAAACAGCAGCTAGCCGTTGTGGAGTGTTTATAATGCACTTTTATCCACTTTAGTGACATTCTCATGACAGTCTTGGGTGGGTCCTACGGTTGTCCCTGAGGGTTCCCTAACTGGCCCAAGATCCCTGGCTGAGTGCAGGCAGACCTGGCCACTGGAGGCCCCGCCCCTCCGTGGCCCCGCCCCCAGCTCAGGTTGGCTCTGTTCTTCTCCTCCGTTTGGCCCGAACAGTCACTAGAGGATCTTGAAGACCAAAAACGGAAAAAGAAGAAAGAGAAGATGGGATTTGGCTCCATCTCCCGCGTCTTCGCCAGAGGGAAGCAGCGGAAGTCCCTCGACCCCGGCCTGTTTGATGGTACCGCCCCTGATTATTACATAGAGGAGGACGCGGACTGGTGATACCCGCCTCCCTGCGCCCGCCGCCGCCCGGCGGGCGTGTCTGTGCGTGTGGGTGTGCGTGGGGCGTGCGTGGCAGGTGTGGGTGCTGGGCGTGGCCAGGCGCGGACGCGTGGGACCCCTCCCCTTGCGGCGCCACCTCTGTAATTGATGTACATACCGCAAACGTGTGTGACTCTGTCAACTCTGTCGTCCTCGGCGCGATACGGTCGGTCGTGTTGTTCATCTGGGTTTGTTTTGTTCTGTATTTTTGTTCCCCTTTTGTCTTTATGTTTCCTTTCGTTCGGTTCGTTGGGTTGTGTTTGTCCCTCCTGTCCCCTCCCCTCCCCTCCTTTCTATGAAACTTGAAAACTTGAAGGACTGCTGTGTATTTGTAAATAACAAAAACGACTGTGCACTCCGTGCTTGTACATGTCCCTCGTCCGAACTGCTACTCCCGGAGCCCCTCTCCCCGAGGACGTGGTCTGTCTCCCGTGCCCCCCGCCCCCGTGTGAACGTGTGGGACCAGACCCTGTGCTCGGGGTGCGCTCAAGTCACTTTAGCCACAAAACGCCACTGTCGCCAGGGCGAGGTCCCTCTCCGCAGCCTCGGAGCCCCGGCCGCGGCGGGGCCTTGTCTTGGCTGGGTTTGTTGAGGTCCAACGGGCTCTTTTCATGGCCTGCCAGTTTTTAAATTGCGTTGCCATTTCTTTCTTTATGGAAAAAAAAAAAAGAAGAGAAACAGAAAATGGTTCCGTTTAATTTATTTGCACAAATGCAGAAGACGTATTCTATCTAAATTATTACATAAATATTGGAATTGTCTATTTTTCCACGGGGCGGGCGGGAGGCGGGGGTTTCTGATGACTTGTCTCTTCTCTGATCATGCTGCTGCCAAACTGAGCGAGGTAGAGTGGAGGGGGGCCGGGGGCCAGGGACCGTGGGATTTCAAAGCTTGCTTTTTTCCGTTCTCTCTCCTGCTCTCTCCCTGTTCTTCCGCCTCTGCATGGACGGGCGCTCCACCTTTCTCCCCACTCTCTCCAGGCCTTTATTTATTTATCTGAACCACAGAACACTGACCTCAGTGAGCAGAGCGCGTCCTGCAGGGGTCCCCTTCTCTCGGGTCTGTCTGTGGAGTGAGGTTGGAGACAGGGGGAGGCAGCCAGTCCCATGAGCCTCCTGCGGCATCCGTTCCTCCCTGCAGCGGTGTCTCTCCGCCTTGGGTTACTCTCACCTTGGCCAGGCAGGTGTCCTTGGAGGTGGGGGGCGGGGGGTTCTCTCTCAAGGGGAGGGCTGTTGGGGACACTGACCCCGTCCTGGTTGGCCCCTCCAGCCACACTTAGCGGAACCTCTCGGGATCCCCGGGGCCCTTGCTCCAGCGGTCCCAGCAGCCTGGCCCACTCGCCCCAGGAGAGAGGATGGGCAGGAACATTTGCCTATTTGGGGGCTGTGTTGGCCCCAGCGAGGCTTCCTGGCAAAGAACCTGGTGCATTAAATGTGGGGTGATGGAGATCACGTGAGCTGGAAGCCAGGGCCTCCCCAGGCCTGAAACGAGCTTCCCTCCTCTCTTGGCCTGTGAGTCCCACCCCCATCCCCACCCACGGCTCCACCTTAACTACTAACAGCTCAGTTCGAACACCCTCTCAACAACAGTAGTTGCGCTTTCTGCTAACAGTAACACCTTCAGCTCTTACAAAGAAACTAAATTTTCAAGTGCTGGAGAGTCTCTATCAGAACGGATAGGGTCTTTTGTCCAAAGTCTCTAAAACTAACAGAAAAGCCCCCCCCCCGCCCCCCCATTTGCCCGGTGCGGGGTTGGAAGGGAGCAGGCCGGGCACTCACGAAGCTCCCTCTGGCTTCCCGTGGCCAAGCCGGTTAACGGAGAGCCCAGAGCCCATGTCTTTCTCTGCAGAGAGAGATTTTAGAAAACGCTTTCTCCCCCATGAATCTTTTTTTTTTCCTCTTTTGATTGATTTTTATTGTTTTCCCTTACGAGAAAATAAGATTGCAACCATTCCCGGTAATGATTTAGTAGCTCCTTTTCATTTCAGTTTTTGTAAATTAGGAGATAATTCTCAGAGTTGCTAAGGATGATTTATTTAAGGGAACTCCGTCAAATAGCGAATGAGTTATGGGTAACATTAGATGAAAATCACCTCTCCCGTGGGAAAGGTTTCTCGAAGGCATGGATGCAAATATAAAATATTTAAAAAAATCTAAATAAAGCTTATTTTAAAATATTACCGAACTCGATGTTATTTGATTGCTTCTATGTTGCTCTGGGTGGGAGGCCAAGTCCCCATAACCTGCTTCTTGGAACGCCAGGCCTAGCTCCCCAGGGGGTGACGGGAGGGGCCGAGGAAAGCTGGCTGGGCTCTGAGCTGATGGAGGGGCCGAGGCCCAGGTCGCCTTCCAGAAACATCTCGTCTTTGCCGGCTTTACTCTAGGCATCGGGGCTGCCCAAGGTCTCATACCCCAGCTCGGAGCCTGGCACCCTGGCTCAGCACCCCGGTCAGCTTTCATCGGCTTCCTTCTCCCCCTGCCGAAGCCAGAGTACGCCAGGCTTTTCTGAACCCCGGGACGTCCCCCAGATGCAAAGCCTCCCCCAGCGAAACTCCACAGTGCGTCCCGAGAAGGGGCCCCCCGGGTACCCCATCCCCGATGGCAGCCAGTGCCTCCGCCTCTATCTCCCAGCCTCAACAGAAAGCTACTCCAGCCGTGAAACTAACGGGAGAGTGGCCTCTTACCTCCCCTGTCATTTCTGCTGGAAGGAAGCGCAAAGCCCGGGATAGTAGATGGTACCGAGAGGCTACAGAGCTCAGGACCGTGAGGAACTACTAGGCCAGCCGTGGGCAAACTACGGCCCGCGGGCCGGATCCGGCCCATTCGGCTGTTCTATCCGCCCCGCGGAGCCGAAAGAGCGGAGGGTTCTCTTGCTCTCCCCTCTGCTCCTTCACCAGCAGCAGTGTTAACATGTACTAGTTCACACAACCACTCCATCCATGCTTTTGTTCCGGCCTCCGGTCCAGTTTAAGAACGCATTGTGGCCCTCGAGTCAAAAAGTTTGCCCACCCCTGGACTAGGCCCTAGTTACTAGGGCATCTCCCCCAGTAGTGCTCAGCCCGGCCCCACATTAGAATCACCCGCGGAGCTTTCAAACTACGGCCGATGCCAGGCCAGCACCCGAATCAGAGTGTTAACCCCTGGTGATTCCGAGGTGCAGCCGGGCGGGAGGACCCCTGGGCCAATCGGAGGAGGGCACGTGGCCTCGAGATGCCACTGCTGCCCTCTCCCTGGCCTCGTGCAGGCATCACGAATCTGGTAAAGGGCCTCCCTGCCCCGCCCAAATCAGGTGGCTCCTGATTTCTTGACTTTACAAAGCCCCAGGCGGCCCCTGCCCATCAGGCGGAGTTGGCATACAAGGAGAGAGCCTCTGTGCCATCCCAAAACTAACCCAGGCCCCACGCCGGCCCAGAGGAGCCGTGTGACCTCTCAGAGGCTGGGCCACACCTTGTTCAGATCTTGGTGGCTCTGCTCAAAGGCCGCCCTCCTTTCTTGTCGTCATCTCCGACACCTTGTCCCAAATGGCCCAACTCCGAGTAGCGCCTGTTAGTGAGAAATTGAGGCAGGGCTGCCCAGGCCTCCGGGCCAGGGGAAGCTGCACAGTTGGCACCGCATGCCTCTGTGAGGCCCTGCTGGGTGGGCGCCCAGAGTCCTGCCGTGCGCAGCCTGCGAGGCTGTCCTCTGCCCTCCTGCAGCTCTCCCGCCAGCTGGTCGGCTCCGACAGGGGCCCCTAATAATAGCAATAACAGTCCCAGCTAACACCACTAAGCACTGACCGCGGCCAGGGCCCACGCCGCACACCTGACGTGTGTTAACTCCATTAACCCTCCCTCAGCCTATGATCGAGAAATCAGCGTAAACAGTAGCGCTGGGCTTCAAACCTAGGGATGCTGCGCTGCCTCCCAGCACAGTGCCAGCTGGGCAGTTGTGGGGCTGGCACCCAGCAGGCAGGCACTGTATGTGTTTCAGCCCGCCCACTCCTCCCTTGTCCCCCATCAGTTCTCTCTGGCACAGCCACTCCTTGCGCTTGTGACCACGTCTGTTCCCATGAGCCTGACCCCCAGGCTCAGAAAAAGAAACCCCGGGAGGAGCTGGCAGGAGGGCCGAGCAGACACGGGGGCTGGCACAAGCCCTCGGTTTGGAACTTTGCTCTGCCTCGGAGTCCCTCCCACCCGCCAGAACCGCACCTGCAGCCCCACCCACCAGACCCGGTGCCCTGTCCCCTTCTAGCCCAGGAGGAGCCGGGGCCCCACGTGCTGGGCAGCGCTGTGTGCTTCCCTCCCCAGGTCTCGGGGAGCCCAGGTGCGCTGGGCCACCACGAGTGGGGTCACCCGCCCTTTGACAATGGAAGTTTTAAAATACCTATGGGCCCTGGCACCCGACACCTGCGTTGTCACAAAAACGGGCCTCACAAACGTCCCTCCCACGCCCCAGCTGCTCCGAACAATGGGCCCTTCAGCTTTTTCAACTCAACCCCTCGCCCGCCACGTGGGCCACAGGACCCCGTGCCCCCTTCCTCCCACCGTTCCCACCGCCTGTCGAAAAAGAAGCTGGTGGTCATGGAGACGAGAGGGAAGACCTACCATTAACTTTTCCAGAAGGAAAGACTCATAACTTGAGACGATAAAAGGATGCCCTAGAAATATAAAATACCTCCGGCGCTTGGTCGTGACTGTTAGAAGTTGTTCAACCGGGCTCCCGAAGGTACCACCAGGTTCTTCAGTGCTACCAGGTTCTTCTTCCACCGGAAGTGGGAACAGGTGGGCGGGAGGGGGCCCAGAGTGCTTTGCCCATGGGTGAGGGAGGGGTTGAGTTGAAAAAGCGTAAGAGCCCATTGTTGGGAGCAGATGGGGGTGGGGGTGTCTGTAAGGCCCGTTTTGTGTTGTGAACACACAGTCATACCCCGTCACCACTGTAGTATCACTGTACAGGCAGGTTGAGGGTATGAATCTTGACAGCATCTGGGGTTCGGCTAATTCAAACCTGAGCCGCCACTGCCTCGTGCCTGAGAGCCCAGGTACTGAAAACCAGGGGAATACGCAGCCTGCGCAGCACAGGCCGCCCCGAACAAACTGAAGCCACGAGAAAGTGATCCCGGGAGGGCTGAGCATTAGAAGTAAAAATAGCAGCAACGGAAAACCTTGACCTTTTCCCCCTGGAAATGGCAGGACTTAGAGCAGCCGGCATGTCCCCGGGGAGCCTGTGCGGTGGCAGGTCGCAGGCTCAGGGCAGCAGCCAGGCTTCCAAATCCGCGTCCCCGGGAACCACTGGCTGACTGCCCATTGGCGTTTGTGAGTTTGGGGTTTTAGAAATCTCTCACTGCTTTCTTAGCGGGTTTCCAGTAAGTAGCAGTTAATTGCCCCAAAATAACAAAATCGATAAAGTTGCACGTCATGCTCCACCTGGAGGACCTTGCAGCCCACCCGTGGGGCCCGAACAGGCCTGGCTAATTGCTGTGGCCCGTGACCCGCAGTCTTCTCACCTTTGAAATGGGCGTAATACCCCCTTTCCTTGTAGGCTCAGACATAAACGCTGCATGTGTTTTGGAGCCTGGGAAGGACTGTGTGTTCCTTGTGACTTGAGTGGATTTACGTTCACTCAGGAGGAGAAATGCAGGAAGCAGCTTGACACACATCTTTAGCCTAAAGAAGGGGAATGGATCCAGTCTGT